TTTATGTGTGTGTGTGTGTGTGTGTGTGTGTGTGTTTTGGTCCCCACAAGGAAAACATCTTATAAATCATACATAATGACGTTTTTTGAAAATCTAAAAGTGCAGAAAGTTTTGTGTGAGGGGTAGGGGATGGAAAATACAGTTTGTAAATTATAAAAACCATTATGGAATGTCCCAATAAAACATGGAGACCTGTGTGTGTGTGTGTGTGTGTGTGTGTATGACACCCTCTACCCTTTGCTGTTGGTGCATACAGACATTTACACAAGGCACAGATCACAGAGGGTTGCTTTTAAAACTTACTTAGTCACTGTGTTGCATTGTACAGTGTAACAAAGTATAACATTTTTACTTCTTTAACATTCAAAATGACACAACTTACTTATATTTCTCAAGCATGTATCCTAAAATCTTAGAGAAATGATTCTGATACTTGAATTATTAATTAAATTAAACTAATTTAATTAAATTATTAAATTATTATGATAAAGGATGCAGTATTATGCAGAGTATTATTTTGAATGTCATCTGAATATTATGTTGAGTGTCATAAGATGTTAGGAATGTTGTATACTGAGTCATGTAATGGTTTATGTATTATGTGTTATGAATATCGTGTATTATTATGAATGTCATGTGATGTTATGTCATGATTTACTGAACGTGTAATTTAATGTTACAGTGTCATGTGATATTATGTTTGCTACATTATGGTTTGTGTCAAGTGGTGTTATGAGTGCTACGATGTAATATATTATGATGAATTTAATGTTAAAATATTATACCATGAATGTCAATGTGATGAATGTCATATAATGTTATTTTCGCTACATGATAATTTCAGCCAAATGACTGTTATGCAATGTTGTAAGTTTCACATATTATTATTATGAATGTCACTTAATATTATTGTTTTATCATGTTTTGAATGTCATGTAATGTTGTGAAAGGCATGTATTATTATGAATGTCATTTAATATGAATATTATATTATTTAATATTCTGAACATTATAACTGTTAATGTTATAAATTTGGTAGCAACATTATGAATGGAATGTTATATTTACTATAATTTGAGTCAATGGGTGTTATGCAGTATTATAAATGTCATATAATATGTTTTGAATGTTATGCAATATTACAAATGGTAGGCTATAATGTTTTGAATGCATTTTGACATTTCATGTTACGAACAGTGTTGGGGGTAACTCATTACAAGTAATGCGAGTTACGTAATCAGATTACTTTTTTCAAGTAACTAGTAAAGTAACACATTACTTTTTTAATTTACAAGAAAATGCGCATTAATTCATCCCACTCACAAAAAAACAGTGAAACGCAAACTCAGAATATGATGCAAACCTGCAATAATTAAATATGTTAAATAACACAAATGTATCTAATTCCATTTTATTAGCCAATATCTTTGTTGCTGACCTTTGATGATCCAGTTCAACCGTACTAATAAGCAAAAATGACTTTAGATAAACTAACAATTGTGCTTTGTTTTTTTATTGCTGAAGAGTGTTTCTTCTCCTCCGTACTGTACAGACGTGAATTTACTTTTGCTTCAGCCTGAGGTTTATTCATTACACTTTTTGGTGTGAAAGGGCTTTTATATTTGCTATAAATAGAACTTCTTATATTAAAAACAATCAAGCCCTGCTTACATTTAAAAAGTAACGCGAAAGTAACGCAAAAGTAATATAACGCATTACTTTCCATAAAAAGTAACTAAGTAACGTAATTAGTTACTTTTTTAGGGAGTAACACAATATTGTAATGCATTATTTTTAAAAGTAACTTTCCCCAACACTGGTTACGAATGCCATGCCATGCCCATGACTGTCGGTGTTATAAATTTCATGTCATGTTATAAATGCCAAGCAATGAATGTCATGTATTATTATGAATGCTACGAAAGTCAATGTTATGTAATATTATATTCGCCATTTAATAATTTGTAAATGTCATTTATTGTTACACTATTTAATGTTATAGTTTTATCATGGTATGAAAGTCGTGCCATGACTGTCAATGCTGTAAATGTCATGTAATGTGTTTTCAGAACACACCAAACCGACGCGTGCAGGGGTGCTGGGATTCCCTGATCGGGATCAGTTGTAGTGTTGAGTGTGAATATGGCGTTAATTCTTTCAGGACTGTGTGAAATGATACCCAATAATTCGATGTCTTTATTATTCACCTGAGCTCTGTGTGATCTACACTGACCTGGACACACCGAACACCCCCGCATACCTCTTCCCTCACCCTCGCTCACCTGTCAATGACCGCGTGCAGGAGACGCGTCACGCCTGTGCGCGCGCTACGAAAACATGGAAGCGCTTTAAAGGCCCTAGATGTAGACGCACTAGAACGAGTCAACACATCCAAGCGTACAATAATGAGAATATGTCATAAAATCAGAGCGTTTGTGTTTCGTCTGCAGTTATATCAATATAATGAGTCTAAACTCAAACGTTGACACGGAAATGATTAATAGACACTAAAATGAGAGCGTCATAATAAGAGCTAATTTAGTCTGTCTTCCTCAATGGTATCATGGAAAATATAACGCCCATAAACACAACGTGCATTAACGATGTTGTGTAGCTTTCTTTTCTTTTAGAGATTTATTAAATAAAATTGTATTACCCTTTTTAATAATATAATCTTTAATAATCTGAAACCAAGAATCTTCCAGGAAGGTTCTGTGAAGGAATAAAATGGGGTTCTGTAACGAGATAAAAGCTATTTTTATTTTTTTAAAATTATTTATTTATTGCTAACAATTTTAACTTAATCAGAATAATTTATACTACTGGGGGTCCTGGTGTGGCTAAGAGTGTGCATCAGGGGTTAATCATCATTTATGTACAGGAAACTTTGTAGAATCTAGTTGGCGTACTTCTGCACTGTCGCTGTCATTAGGTCGCGCGCACGAAGCGCACGAGCGCCGGTGCGGTGATCGTGCCGCGCGCTCCAGTCTCAGCAGCAGCAGCAGGAGGAGCGTATAATCCTCTAGTTTAATGTTGACAGCGACGCGACACGAGCGATTTTAACAATTCTATGCAGGAAATCGGACACTGGGACGCATATTTCAGCAGAGCCACGCACGGGGTGTCTAGAGACTGACGAGCGGCTGCCAGGCCGAACGCCGTCGGATGGGATTCCCGGTCTAGATGGAGAGTAACCGAGCGGGCGGAGAAGCGTCGCTGCTGTAAATAATTCAACATCGGCGTGGTCAACAAAAATGCATCTGCACCAGGTGCTGACGGGAGCCGTTAACCCGGGGGACTGCTGTTACTCCGTGGGAAGCGTCCACGACATCCCGTTCACGGTGGGTGAGAAATAAACCTGCGCGGCGCGTTATTTAACGCCTGTGCGTGATCGATGATCAAGCGTGACGCGTGTGCATGCAGCCTGTGTGGGCATCATCATCATCATCATCATCATCATCCTCTTGATGTGTGTATGGGTTCAGTGTGCCATCTGTCATCCTCAAGGTTATCTGCGGTGTGTGTGTCCCTGCAGATCAGTAGCAGGCGCGCACACACACCCCTGCGGTGTCTCTATCTATGCAAACTCTTAACATGCATGATTGTGTGACATGCTATGCATGTTTACAACCAGTTGCAACGCTCACTCACGACAATAATGATGATATGGAGCTTGAAGGTTGATGTCGGTTGTAGCTCACAACCTAGTTAGTACCTAGACAGCATCAGACATGCATTGTGATGCCCAAATATGCAGTCTATGAAGGTTGTCATAGTAGGTTATGAGACACTGCTATTGTGGTTGGATGTTGAGCCCATCAGCTGTGCACACAATGACGTCACAGAGTACAGTTGACAGGCCACAGTCTCTAATGTAAAGATCTAATCACTGCATGTTGTGCACTAGCAGTGAATTAGGCCTTCATTGAGAATGTTTGTTCAATTCAGAGCTTCTATTTGCACAAGTACAACAAAAAGTGTCGTTTAAAGGTGTAGTGAACTCAAAACATAAAATATGTAAGTAATATACACCAAGGAATGATGGCATTACATGCATTGCATGGTTATATCTACAGTATGGTGCTAAAAAGCCCAATAAGGTAACCAGTACCAAATACATTACAGTTGTTTTTTTGTTTTTTTTGCCGTTGTAACCATAAAACATGCAGAATGTCTATCAGGAATGTGATTCAGCAAGCTGTTTGGCTGCATTCCTCCCTCGCCATTTCAATCTTATTGAGCCCATCGGGAAGACTGCAGTGATCAGTGCTGGAATATTACTGGCTGCTCATAAATATCTGCTGTCAAATGATGTAGGGTAGACGAGAAGCTTTTGAAACAATCAAGCTATGTCTTTTTAAGGGAAGGTGCTCTGTTGTGCACTTTGATTAGTCTGGCAGTCATAACAGTGGCTTCCACACAGCAGAAACAAGAACTGAAACCTAAACCAGAAAATCCACACACAAGCTTTCACGTGATTCTCTTTGGAAATGATTGTCGTTGGCTTGCGCAAGAGCTGTGTTTGGGCATGGGTGAGCAGGTGCTGGTGAATTCCTGTCAACTTTTTTGATTTTGCAAGCCGCTTGTCCAACACAATATTCAAAGCCCCCCGCCCCCATGCCATATTCCATATAAGATATTGGGTCCCACTTTATATTAGGTGTCTTTAAATACTATTTGCTTAATAATAAAATGATAAATTGTTAGGTACAATGTACCTGTTGTGTTCATGTTGAATTGCAAAACATTTTTGCTGATACGGGTAAGGTTAGGGACGGGTTTGGTGATCAGATTAAGTTTAAGGGGTAGAGGTAGGCTCAACAGAGTAATTAGAGATATAACTACAGAAATTAATTAGAGATGTAATTACAGGATGGTAGTTTCAAATATAAGTACAATATAAAAACTTGTATGCACCCAATAAGTCCATTGTATCAAATGATCTATTTATGTTTTCAACATTGATAATAATAATTAGATAGATATATTTTGAAAGGATCATATGAATACAAAAGTAATGGCTGCTGAAAATTCAGCTTTGCCATCACAGCAACGTTATATTTTTAAATATATCCACATAGAAAACAGATATTTTTAATTGTAATAACACTTCAGAATATTACTGTTTTTTTACTGTATTGCTTATCAAATAAATGCAGTCATAGTGAGCATAAGAAACCTCTTTCAAAAACATTAAATCGTAATTATTTCAAATGTTTGATCGGTGATGCATATGCAATTAATTGTGATTAATTAATCATGATGTCAGTTTTTACTAAGAAAAGTTCACAAATTAAAATATTTGAAAGACATTATATTGTCATAGTGGATTAGTAAAGCATTGGATAGCTAAATAGCTTCAGAAGACTTTGGGCTTGTTAGAGCTGTCAGTTTCACTTTCTGGGTGTCTGTCAAGCCTTTTGCCTTTTTCGCTTCCTGCTTACTGCATCCGCATGACAGTTGCACACAATACAGCAAACCCACAGACTGCCAAAGGAGGAGCATATTAGTTTATCGTTTCATTTATCTTTTGCTGTCATACAAGAAGGCATGGTGTTTTTGGGCCCGTGGAGTGGTGGGCTGTAGTGTGTGTTTGTGAAGAAATGCTAGCTGTCATTCGACATGGCATAAAAATACACCCCAGCACGGTGTGTCTGAATATGTTATGGTCTCGCCATACTCAAGGCTGACACACACTTTCACTTCTGTAGACGCCTCATCCTGGGACCTGCTGGGATTAGCCAGCAGGAGTGGGGGGGTGGATCAAAGCACTAGAGGTGCCTTTGGGTTTTATTTGGGTGCTGTAACCTCACTGCTGGATTATGATTTCATTAATAGTTGCGACATTCAACGATGCTTGAAATATTTTATATGCAAAAATATAGCTTATGCCTGCCAGTAAACATGAGCTGATGTTTATCGCTTAACTTATGACGCGTCTCAGCAAGCAGCCGTGCTTCCTGGTTCTTTAGACAAACAGCTTGTGGAAATGAGCAGCATTATTATCTATGGTCTGCTGAAGGAAAAGTTTCCCAAAATGAAAATTCTGTTATAAATTACTCACTCTCATGTCATTTCAATCTTATAAGAAGTTTGTTTATCATCGGAACACAAATTAAGATATTTTTAACAGAACCCTGAAAGATTTCTGTCCCTTAATTAAAAGTCCATTCCACCATCAAATATTGTTAAAGTAATCTAGATTCAAGTGGTTTAATTCAAGTCTTCTGAAGAGACACAATGGCTTTATACGATAAACAGATTTAACCCTGTAAAACCTGACATATGAAATAATAGTCTCTTTTTATGTAACAGTTTATTGAACCTTTAGACAAACTATTTTAAACAGTCTAAAACAAAAAAGGCAGTTTCTGGTATTTATATGATCAAAAGGTAAGAAAAGCTTGTAATGTAAATCAATAAAATCTTTATAACAGTAAAGTAGACTACTTGCATAAAATGCATATAAATATCAGTTGTCATTCTATATATCCAAATAATATGTCTTAGTAAGATGTAATGTTGTCACGGTACCAAAATTTCAGTATTCGGTACCAATACCAGTGAAAATCCACGGTTCTCTGTACCAATTTCAGTACCAAAGCAAAACACAAAAACGTGCTAATTAAAAAATTTGACTATACTTTCATTTAATCCAAACTGTGTACATATTTAATTTTAAAGGGCTTTTAAAACCTTCTAGAGTTATTCAGCCAAGAATAGGCTTGCCGCGATAGACGGTGATACCGGTGTTAAGCCGCAACACCGGTTACGTCACTTGCCCACCGCATCTCCGACCCCCACCGTCGTTTAGATTTTTTTTATAGTAATAAAAACAATTTAGTTCAGTAAAAGAACAGACACTACAATTAAAAACTGAACTCGGCTGCTCAATGCAGTTGAACGACAGTTGCATCACAGATCAGATTTAATTTCTCCAGTGAGGAGAGTGAGTCGAGCTGACTGACAAGAAGAGTGAGGTGAGGTGAGACAGACAAGACGATCGCGGATGATTTAGTTTCGAAACGAAATGCAAAAGCACCTATTTGGCAATATTTTCCAAGCAATTGACGCCTAACTGCCGCTAATTCTAAAGTAAAAGTAAAGTGCGCATGGCGCTTTTACAAGCTATTTAAAAGTGAAGGAAAAGAGGGAAAATTCAAACGAATTAAAGACGAACAATTGCTTTACTCAGAATTGCCACTATTTGAAAGTGAAAGTAAAATGCGCTCGCCACTTTTACAAGCTATTTAAAAGTGAAGGAAAGCGAGGAAAAGAGGGAACACCCCCGCGGTGATACCGATATTACCGGTGTTGTCACATATCGATTAACCGGTGGGAAAATGTCCTCACCATAACAACCCTAGCCAAGAATAACAACTAAGTTAGCTAAAAAAAAAAAAAAGCCCAGACCTGCTTTTCTGACTGATATGAAACAAACAAACACACATATTTTAGATTCACAATTCATTTAAAAGCCTCTGGTGTGTAAAAATAGTAAATATCATCATGTCCTCCTGTTTTTGAACCCTAATAAAAGTTATAGGAGCATTAAATAGTTAATAAAGAAACTTCATTATAATGTTCATTTATATTAGCGTTAGCCGTGCTTATGCTAACGATTAACTACTCTAATAACAGTGATGTTCATTTCGATCCGACATTCAAATTAAAATATTGAATAATATTCATAACAGAAGCGGTGTTTCCCACAGACTTGCACTCTATTTGTGGCGGCATATATATGCAAATTCATTCTCTGCCAGCAGGAGGCGCTTGTAGAGCGGGAGAGATAGAGGTTTCCCCAGTAACGCTGTAATCAAATAAGCGCTGCACTCACAAACGCTGCTCATGCATTACAGGCAAGATGAAATGAAAATGACATTCATAATTTTCGGTTTCCTTCAGAAATACAGTGATATAAAAACACCGGCACCGGGTTTCGACTTTGACACGTGCAGTGCTCATGATTATTCAACGAAGTCAAAGCCTTTTGGAAAATCTATTTGTGGCGGTGAGTTTTGATATTGTGGCGGGCGCCACAAATAAATCAATGTATGGGAAACACTGAGAAGATCTAAATATTAAAAATT